GTCAGAATTCGTGAAAGTGTTATCGGAAAGGATGGGTAATATTCATCATCAAGTGCATTCAAACTTGAAAACGTCTGCTGATTCGATGAAGATATCTTATGATAAGAAATCTACTGAAGTGAGTTTTGTACCAGGAGATAAAGTGTGGTTATATAATCCCAGAAAGACCAAAGGGAAGTCTCCTAAGTTGTCAGCTCCATGGGAAGGCCCATATGACATAGTGGATCGTCTCTCAGACGTGACTTTCCGAATAAAATGTGGTCGGCGAAGTAAGCCAAAGGAGGTGCATGCCAACTGGATTTTGGCGTTATCATGGTCCAGGACATTGCAGTTGGAATGAAGTGAACAATGGAACAAATAATGTTGCTGATGAGCAGCAGCAAATGAGCTACAACAGCTCAATCCACTTTGGTAATGAAAAGTGGGGAACTGACTCTAGATATAAAGAAAGAAGACAGAGAGATGTGAACAGTAAGTGGACATATGTTTCAGCAAAGGATAAATTAGAAGTTATCATGTGCAGGAAAAATTAGAAGCTACCCTGTTCCTCATGATGTATGGTTAATTAACGATGAGAAAGAGAATATTTTGGGAATTAACTGCATATGGAAAAATGGATGGAGGTCAGGCTAGCTTCAAATAGCTTCACAGTCTATATCCAAGAAATCCCTATATATATTATGTAGCAATTATTACACTGGAGGTTGTGCTTCCAGTGGAAGCAGAAACCATGGCACCACTGAGAAGTGAAATACTAAGACCAGCAGTTATTAGCAATAATTATTCATCTAGTGACTGGGACCAGTGGAGCCAAATATTCCAGCTTGTTTTGAGAAATTGGTGGCTGGAAGAGCTCATCTGTATGTGAAAAATAGAGATGCCATACATGATTTCACTCAGGAAAGAATTTAATTGGCTTATGATAAAATGAAAGGTAGATATGATGTGAGTGCTGATAAAACTGAATTCCTTGAAAGTGGCATGGTATAACTGAATAATTCTTATCATGAGAGATGACAATCTCCAAAGTTAGGTAGGTGTTTGGAGAATACGTAATCCAAGCCAAAGGTCATCCACCATGATAATTTTTGGAAGAATTTCATCTCGCAGAGAAGCCCATAGTTTTTGATGAGACTGCTTCCAACAGATTATCAAGGATGGAGCTGCCAGTGGATTCATTTGTCCTGTTGCTATCTTGTATATCAATACTCACTCAAACCAACATTGGCTAATTAGAGTTTTCTAGTAAATCATCAGGACACTGCATTGCCTAACACAAGCCAATCCACTCATTTCATTTGATATTACAGTAAAATAAATGTAGGTAACCTCAACAAATAAGAATTATTACCCTGAAATTCACAATGACCTCATCTTTTTTCTGCATTGGTAAAGAACACAACCCCTTCATTGTACATGGAGGAATCACAAACATGTTAGTATACATGTAAGTGTTTCTCTTGAGCTCCTCACGATCTGTTCTTGAGATTTGCAGCTACTTGGATAAGTGTAGGTGATTTTCATGAAATAACAGACTACTGTTTTATTATGAAACACCTGATAGCTTGGAAAGCAAGGGTCACAAAGCCCTTTCATTCACTATTTTTTGACCAAATAACTGTCTAGCTATGATGATTGAGTGATCATCACAAAATGGTATCCAACATTTTTCAAACTAAATCACTTGCTGGGTTGGAAAACAAGGGTCACAATACCCTTTCACTCAACTAGATAACTCACAGTTAATGTAATATAACGATCAGAATAACATTGTTTTTCATCTTGGTTGATCATTACAGCTCTGATGATGTCTTTCCTTACCAACCACTTGGTTAAGGCAAGTACTCGACCATGTAGGTTTAGCATCAAGCACAGCACTGCTGTCCCTGAATCTCTTTATTTCTGACAATGACCTGTCTGATATATTAGGAAGTGTCTAAGCAATTCCTTTACTACCCTCTTAGACACTGGAGGAGAGATGTGCTTTACTTCCACTATAAGCACACGTGGTCTTGATGTGAATCTCTTGATGGTGGACTTACAATCTACTCTGGACTGGATAGTAACCTACAACAAGGTTTTATCGAATAGACAAATGTAAGGAGCCCTCAGTTTGCCGAGTGTCAGTTAATGACTACTGTAGCACAGAATGATGAATTACAGTGAGTAGTTCACCTATTGATCTTGAAAGAACCGATTTTGCTTTGAGACCTGTCATTGCCTCTGCAGCCTAACTTTTATCATAAAGGTTTTCTACTGTCCCAGAGGTCCATCTTTTCCTCCACGAGTACCCCCTGCCTCGCCTGTTGACAATATATCTTCTATTGGTGGCTATCCTCCACCAATGGCATCTCGCTCTCGACTCTAGGTTTGGCTGGGTGCCTACTTCTATGAAAACTCTCCCCAATACTCCACTAGTTGTCATCATCGATGAGTTGTGGTGTCACGTCAAATAATGATTAATCTCATTTTAGAGGCTGTATCTATTAAGTAACATTGTAATTTGGATGCACTCACAAACAATACCTGACACAACACATTGTGTGGGTGTGTGTTTTTAATGGAATAAAATATCAGTGAAAAGAAAAATTCAAATATGGTATATGTTTTTTATCTTTAAATCTTTTATAGGTATATTTTATATTTTGATTTTACAAATATTAGAATTTACAAATTGAAACGTTAATGTTGATAAATAAATTTATTTAGTTATTTTTTAGCTAAAATATCTAAAATTATTTACTATTTCACCTTATTCTTAGATTATATACTTCCAATGATATACGTGTGGAGTGTACGTTATATTAAAACGATTTTGAATATGCAAATCAGCAAGTCGCGTGACAACAAAGCCTATATAACGTCGGGGTGAAAAGATATGTATCAGAACTACATTTTGACATTGTTTGGTGTTCGTAGGTAGTGTGATGCCACCGAAAATTGATTGTTTTTGGAAAGGGTATGTAGCAGCTCTTTCTCTGATCTGAAGTATTGGTACATTCAGATCATAAAGTTGTGTTCAAATGGCGGGCTATGAATTTCCAAGCATGAAAGAGATTTGTAACAAGTCGTACCACAGCCATGATAAGCAAAGTGTGTCGTCTTGTAACAGGTAAGAATCCATGAAGACAAAGGTCAGTGGCGAAAGCCACCCACGCACCCCAGGTAATAGTACACAACATATCAAGAAGAATTTCCATTTGGAATCGAGGCCAACAGGGTATGGATTCACTTAGAAAAGGCTTCCAGTCATACCTGCTGTCCAACCATCGCAAGTTTCAAGAAGTTGAAGAATGACACGGGTATATAAGATGGAAATTGTTGTCGAAAAATATAATTTCTTTAATTACATATATTCATAGTGTTTACTTTAGCCCACAACTGCTAAAAACTATAAAAACGACCAGAAAATCACTTTTAATCTTGTTCATAACTCACCCACAAAAGTGCTACGTTTTCTATATTATGTATACAAATCATTCACATTCTACCTTCAGTCATTCCCCGATTCGTTCGAAGTGTCACTGATGACTCATGTAGTATCCTGAACACTTTCAAGCATAAAAAAGCTTTATATGTCGTTTGGTTACCAGGAGCCACACTGCTGATGATATGTGTTCATAGCACCCAAATACTTTTGCACCTGTGTAACACAGGCAATACCGGGCTATTATAAATGGGTCATTTTAGTTATTATGGTTAATACAAAGAAGTTAAACCTTATTTGAAATCATAGTATGATAGTCTTTGTATGGATAAGAATATCCATTTCACTAGTGATCCACACGTCATGTGGTCCACTAGTATGATATTCTCTGTTTCAGCTTAAATATACTTAGTGTCAGTTATTACGCACACAGTCTTCCGACAACTATGGAAATTCGAAACCCACATCATCCGCTTTTTTTTAACAGCTTATGAAAATTCAGCAATATGGGTGTATCAGGTTATACGTTTTTTAAAAAAAACATATCACACGCTCTCATTACTTATTATCTATTAACATTATTCATAAGTGACATAACGTGATAAAGGTGTCAATGATACAGTTATTGGATACTGAGCTTATTTAGACACCCTCCGATGGCTCAGCTGTAACTCTGAGGATTTACAATGCTAAAAACCAGATTTCGATACCCGAGGTTGGCACATCACATATAGTCCATTCTGTAGTTTGTGATTCATACCAAATAAACGCACGAAGCTGACGTTAGACAGATGTTAGGACATTTTGTACATTTTTTTTTTATCTAACTCAACTACATCATTGATTGCAATAATAGTTTAAAATATGATAATCGGCAATCCGCATGAAAAATAACAATTATTTCATAGAATTGTCTAAAACACCTCTCTCATATTATCTTCTCAATTAAATTTTCTCTTTTTGCTGTTTTTGTTGAATTTTCGCCCAAGGCTACCAGAGAGCTGTAGCCGTCCCTAATTTTGAAGTGATATACTAAAAGGAAAGCAATTAGTCAACATCATTCAACGCTAACTTTTGGAATACTCTTTACAAAATAATAGTGGTATAGATTGTAACATTATAACACTCTCACATTTGAAAGGACTAACATGTTAGGGGACGAGTTTCGATCCTGCAAAGTGCAAGACCATATCAGGCCAAATTTTCTTTTCATGGAAAAGTTAGTTCTCAATCCCCAATCTTTCACAGAATCATATACTACCATTCCTAGCGTTCTCTATTTGTCAGTTGTGATCTAATAATTAGTGTACCCATATTGTGAATACGAATAGTTGGGCCCGACATGGCCAGGTGGTTAGGGCGCTCGACTCGCAATCTGAGGGTCGCGGGTTCGAATTCCCGTCACACCAAAACATGTTCGCCCTTTCAGCAGTGGGGGCGTTATAATGTGATGGTCAGTCCCACTATTCGTTTGTAAAAGAGTAGCTCAAGAGTTAGCGTTGGGTGGTGATGACGTTGGGGCCGTGGATAGGTGCTGTTGACTATAGCTTTCTTCCTCCAAGTTTATCAGTTAAAAATCAAGAAGGGCTATCCGCAGATAACATTTTAAAGCTTTGCGTGAAATTCTCAAACAAACGTAAATAACACCTTAATTCAAAATGCATGCTCTCAATCGTCAATTTTAAAACAAATAACAACTTCTTAAAATAATGAATAAGTTTTCATTTTCTTTTGTTTTCTGTGCAAACAACAATTTTTACATGAAAAAACACACTTTATCCATTTTTCTCAAGCGGCTCCTCATTTTTGTTCGATAAATGGCAATCTTTAAAATAAAAATAATACAAAATAATGTCGTTGCTCACTATCAACTCGAACAAAACGTCATCACTGAGCATTTTTCACGAGCCTGGCATGGCCACGTGGTTAAGGCGCTCGACTGGCAAGCTGCGGAGCTCGTGTTCGAATCCCGTCCCACCAAACATGCTCGCCCTTTCAGCGTTATAATGTTACGATCAATCCCACTATTCGTTGGTAAAAGAGTAGCTCAAGAGTTGGCGGTGATGACTAGTTGCCTTTCCTCTAGTCTTTCACTGCTAAATTAGGGACGGCTAATGCAGATAGTCCTCGTCTCCAGCTTTGCGCGAAATTTATAACAAACATACAACTGTCAACCATGAATATTATCTCGCCATTCCACGTTTTCCCCACAAGTAACTCTCCCTGTAGATAAAAACATGTTATAATTCTTAAGAGAGTTAACTGTTCCATAAGTTATTTTTTTTACATCTCATTGTTATTATACAATAAAAATATTATACAAGATATCATGCTTTTATAAAATAAACAAGAGTTAATTCACAAACGCTTTTTCTTCGAGAACAATCCCTGCATAACATAAATACTTCTTCCACCGTTTTAATGTTTCTTTCTTGTGAAAGACTCATTCAATGCAGGCTTTCGTATTAGATTAATTTTTACTTCACTCCCTATTTTTTGTAATTCACGAGCAAGAAATAGTTCCGTTTCCAGCCTCTTTATTTATGCAACAAACTGATAACGAAAGGTAGAATTAATCGTTATCGAGTCACTATAAAGTTTATCAGTTCTTCTCAAATACGCATGTGCTATTCCCATAATACATTTTGATAACATTGAACTGTCGTTAAATTCGTGTACAATCCATTCTCTGCTTTCATTAAGTCTTGTTTTTGCTGACACAATTTGTAATAGGCAGTATAATCTCAGTCGATTATAGAGAGAATAATTCATGGCTGATATGAATCAAGTGAACAACGGTTCTGAGAACACCAGCTATATAATGGACGAAAGCGATGTGAGAGGAAAACCGCAAAACCATGACGCTCCACGTGAGAATACGCACACTGAACAATTTTCTATTCCCATGACTAAACGAAGGATAATCAAAAACTTGATAGTCATAAGTTTTGGATTCTTGTTTTTATTCACCACATTTCAAGCTCTTGCAAACCTTCAAAGCACTTTAAATAGTGAAGATGGGATTGGTGTGGCCTCACAGAGCATTATTTATGGGGCCTTAATCGTATCGTCGCTGTTTCTTCCAGCAATTGTAATAAAAAAATTAGGTTGTAAACGCACGATGGTGTTGGCGATGTTATGTTACACGCCCTATATTGCAGCCAATTTTTATCCTCACTGGGGAACTCTCATACCATCTGCTTTGATCTTGGGCCTTGGAGCTGCTCCCTTGTGGTCTGCAAAATGTACTTATTTGAACGAAATAGGCTTTCGTTATACTGAGATGGTCAATGAAACCGAAGACACGATAATCGTCCGCTTTTTTGGAATATTCTTCATGTTCTTCCAATCCACTCAAATTTGGGGAAATCTCATATCGTACTTCGTCCTGCGTCCAGAAAATGAAATAATGTATTTAGTTAACGATTCCGATGCCAGTTTATCTTTCTGTGGATCAAACTTTTGCAATCAAGTTCAAAGCCCAAATCTTGTACGTCCAGAAGACACTAAAGTTTACATGTTAATTGGAATCTATTTAGCTTCTGCTATTTTTGGAGCGATTTTGCTCGAACTGTTTCTTGATCCTTTAAAACGAGAATTCGTAGAGTTTGATAAGAAGCTAACAGGAGTCCGACTATTGCTTGCAACATTAAAACACCTAAAAAATCCCTGTCAAATTGTTATTATTCCACTTACAATATACAGTGGTTTAGAGCAAGCCTTTTTTCTTAGTGAATATACAAAGGTAGGGCTTTATGTATTTATTAATATAAGTAATAAAAAATAATTGGGCAAGAAAATAAGGCGAACAAGTAATAAAAGAATATTTCGGTCAAACAACAGTCACTGTGATCAAATGTTGAAAATGATAACTAAAAACAGGTTGTTGTTTTTTCTCCAGAATACACGATGCTGTTACTTGCTTAATCTTAATGGTATGGTGGAATACTTGAAGAACTATATTATGTAAAAGCATTGGGTAGAAGGGTAAACCAATTATTTGAAACTTTCCTTATATCGAAGTATGGGGAAAGGCAGATAAGCTAAAATATTTTAGTAAGGATAGGTGAGTGTGTACAGTAGTATGTAGAATTGTAATTGATATAGCTATATTTTTACAAAGTTTCTTGAAAGGATTCATCGTATGTTAAAAAAAAAGAGTTTTGTGATTTGTTATATCAGTATATACAACATATAAAGTGATCAAATCACGCATATTATGTACGAAACTTTTGGCGTTTGCACCAGTGACATAATTGCATTGGTCGCAGACGTAGCATAAAGTGTAGATAGCAATACTACAACCTACTACAACCTACCCCAGTGGCACAGTGGTATGACTTACAACGCTAGGATCCGGGTTTCGATACCCGTGGTGGGCAGAGCACAGATAGCCCATTGTGTAGTTTTGTGCTTAATTACAAACAAACAAACCTACCCACTATGATTACAGTATGCGCTAAATGATTTGAATCTACAGAGCCGTACAAGTAGTGTCATCAAAAAGCGGCTGAATACAAATCTTAGGTAAAAATATGACACAAACGACTTTACTTCATGGTATCACGTTATTGAATGGCCAGGTGGTAAGAGCGCTCGACTCACAGTCTGCGAGTTGCGGGTTCGAATTCCCGTCACACCAAACATGCTCGCCCTTTCAGCTGTGGGGGCGTTATAATGTGACGGTCAATCCCACTATTCGTTGGTAAAGGGAAGCCTAATATGTTCAAAACAAATCAAACGTATGTGCAAAAAATCGTTACACTATTCGTTACCACAGTTGAATCTGTAGCTCTGTATGATTCTCGTCAAAAATCCATGCAGGCTGGTACAGCTACTCTAAAACCCAAATGATAAGACGAACTATTTCTTCTCTACTCTTTTTATCACAATAGAATCAGTGAAAAATTCACTTATGTTATCTCGTTTTACTAACTAACTTCTGTATCTGCACTTATTTATAACACACGACAGAAAAATTTAGAAATATATAGCCCTATAGTAACGACTATATTAAACATAACGAGAAAAACTTAGAAGCTTCGAGTAAGATGACGTTAACAATATTGCAAAAGCTTGTTTTGTTTTGTTTTTGAATTTCGCGCAAAGCTGCAGGAGGGCTATCTGCACTACCCGTCCCTGATTTAGCTGTGTAAGACTAGAGGGAAGGCAGCTAGTCATCACCACCCACCGCCAACTCTTGTAAAAGCCCAGTACAACAATTAAACTACATACACAAAGTGTGACTGGTATAGAATTACGTAATGAACTTGTCATAAGTATGGCTTTTAAGATGATTAACTTTTAACACTCTTGTTATGAAAACTAATATAATAATTAAATATTAAATTACTAAATAAACTAAATGATAACTCTTAAACTGAACAGTTTTGTATATCCTACAGAACGAAATCTTTAACATATATATATAGAATCATTAAACAGTTGGTCCGCTGTATAACATAGAATAATGGATTAGACGATATGTCATAACAATATTCACATACCTAAAGTAATTTAGGTTACTATAAAAAGAAGTAAAACGGACTCAAAACCTCCATAGAAACTTTAGATTTGTTTTTCTATAAAATCCAATATTTTTAGTGCATGGGAGAAATTTCTGTCTCACTTATTGTTAGTAATAGATAATAAATCTTGTAATATTAAGTTTAAATTGGATTGAATTCATGACATGAACTAAACAGGAAATAAATTCTTCAAGTGTATGATGTTTCAGTGAACTGAGGCATAAATTATCTTTCTGTGTGTGAGAAAGTTGTGATAATTATATTGTTTTCAATCATCATATCAAGCTTTCTGCGAAACATCAAGTGGAATCTTTAATGCTTGAGATTATATATTTATTATCTCGGAGGAGACCAAATTTGTATAATTTGTTGTTAAGCATGAAGCTACACAATGGGTTTTCTGTATTCTGTGAACTGCAGCTATTGAAATCCAACTTTTAGCGTTATAAGCTCTCAGACTTACACTTGACCCACTAGTTGACACATAATTTGTAACTTGTAAGAGATGTTTATTTACTGTGCCGTTATTCAGAGAGGAATTAGCATTTGAAATTATGTAATCCTGTTAACCGTACAAATGTCGTTCAATTTCGATTCCGAACATATATGTTTATGTAAACTTGTCTCCCAACCAAACATGCATTACAACTAACAATACATGTTTAAGTAACATGTAATTATCTAAGAGTTGAAATATGTATTGTATCTTTTAATTATCACCATGTTGTTGACCTGACAGAACACACTGTGTGGATGTGTTTTCCTAACGGAACAAAAAATCAGCTCCCCCCCCCCCCCAGTGGCACAGTGGTATATCTGCGGACTTACAACACTAGAAACCGGGTTTCGATACCCGTGGTGGGCAGAGCACAGATAACCCTTTGTATAGTTTTGTGCTTAACTACAAACTAACAAAAAATCAGTGAAACATAAATATTGTGCGTCTTAGCTTTACCACGAAATGTTTTTAATAATTATAATTTGTGTCTTGATTGTATAATTATTCATAATGTTAAAATTAACAAATTGAAACTTTAATGGTGATAAATTTGTTCGCTTATTTTTATTTCAGGCTTACATTGCATGTTCTTGGGGTATTCACAGAATTGGTTTTGTACTAATCTGCTTTGGTGTTGTAAATGCTGTAGTCTCTCTGCTTTCGGGGCCTTTAGTAAAACTGGTGTCCCGACTCCCCATCTTCATCACAGCGGCTCTAGCTAACTTGGGGATTACTATCACCTTTCTCTACTGGGAACCTAATTCTAGCCAAACTGCAGTTTTGTTGGCACTGGCTGGTATCTGGGGCTTCAGTGATGCAGTGTGGCAGACGCAAATTAATGGTAGGCTTGAAAACTTCAAATTATCAATATGTGACCAAATGATAGAAAAAACTACTTGAATACTTAAGCTAAAATTATTTACTATTTCACCTTATTCTTAGATTATATACTTCCAATGATATACAGGGTGGAGTGTACGTTATATTAAACGATTTTGCATGTGCAAATCAACAAATCGCGTGACAACAACAACCTATATAAAGATATGGTGAAAAAACGTGTATCAGAACTACATTTTGACATTTTCTTTTATTCGTAGATAGTGTAATACCATCAAAACTGATCACTTTTGGAAAGGGTATGTAACAGCCCTTTCTCCGACGCAAAATCTTCATACACTCAGACCGTAAAGCTGTGTTAAGATCGAGGACTTAGAATTTTCAAAATGGAGATCCATAACAAGTCGTACAACAATCATGTTAAACAAAGTGCGGCGTCTTGTAAGAGATGAGAATCCACAAACACAAAAGTCATCCACGTGCTCCAGACAATAGTACACAACATAATCAAGAAGGATATCTGCTTGGAAACGAGGCCAATAAGATGTGGAATAATTGAGATAACGTTTCCAGTCATACCTCCTGTTCAACCATCTTATAACTCAAGAAGCAGGTAGTCATTGTATTGTATACGAACACACAGCGTTCAAGTCGCTGGATGCAACGTCTATGAATTTCCGTGATATCAGACTGCTCAAACTGGTGCTGGGATACCGCAATCTACATACACTAGATGGATTATTGAAACAAGCAGGGAAGAGTATATTGTTTTGAGCAGTATGACAGTCTTACGACGGGGCCTTTTAATTCTACACTGTAGGGCTTTTGTCAAGGTGCCTGGTCACTAGATAAAACATGACCGGATGTGGCGACCGGGTGAGCCTCCAAAATTATTTTAACATAACGTACTCAACCCCAAGTATATACCTGAAAGCATTTTAAACTTATAAGTGTAATAATACTATCATTTTAAGACAGTATAACACAAGTTGAGTTATTTGGCTTAAACACTAAACTGTAAGTAAAAAATGGAATTTTATATTCTTAATAGAGAGAGATAATTGTTGGTGTTAGAATATTGTATCAGTTTATGTAAATTCACGTCCATAGCTCTGCTAAAACATAATTTTAATACCAACAGTTCGTTATCATGTTCTAAAATAACATGAAAGAAGAATTTTAAATATAGTTTTAAACATTAATTCAATGAAACTTGAAACCATCCTTTAAGATTGCATTTTTTAAAATTTGAAAATATATTACCGTCTGACCAAAAAACACTTTACACATATGGCTTTACTTTTTTTTTCTATATCTAGGTTATTCTGCAATGTTATCATATATATATATACATATTTCATTACCGTTATTGGTGCAAGTTGTCAATTTATATTGTCATAGCAGATAATGTCTGTGGTAATATCACCCAAATGCGTTGGGGATATCCCATACATCAGACAAAATTCAAACGCCGATGTCAGTCTAGTCAGCCGTGTCATGGAAAATCATAAAAAATCAAATAAGGTTACGAAGCTGAGTGCTAACACCCACAACGTCTCAGCTTCTACTGCCTTTCACTGTCTATAGCCAGTTGTGGGA